GGGCAGGGTTTATGGCTCTGCGGGTTACACTTTGACAGGACTTATGGCTCAGGGAGTGAACAGAGGGTGTGTGGGTGTCCTTCACTCAGCTCCAGCCTTGGCTCGACCTTGGCTCCCTCCCTGCCTCTATTGCTGGCAGGATGCGGCCCTCACTGGCCGCCCCAGAGCTGTCGTGCCCATGGGCATTGATGTTCATGGCCCTGGTGTGAGCCTGCCCCCCACCTGACACCATGTCCTCTCTGCAGGTCCCTTGCCAGAACCCACTGCCAATGGTGATATAGAGAAGGTGAGATAAATTCCTTTTCTTGTCCCTTCCGAATCCCGCCTATGGTCTGTAGGAGCCTGCAGGTTTGGGTGCCCCTTTATCCTTTGCCTGTAGGCGGTTGGGTGACCCGTGGGCCAGGGATGAGGCTCCCATGCTGTCGCACAAGAGCAGGTGCCATGCTGGGAAGGGGAGTGGGAGGTCGTGGCCCCCAGGAAGGGGTTTGCTTGCAGGTTTGCTTTGCTTGCACGATGCTGCCTGGCCAGGAAGGAGCCCTCATGCTTCAGGGAAGCAACATTCCATCCCATAGCCCTCCTGCTGCTGCTGCAGCTGGGAAGTCAGGTTTAATCCTCCCAACCCTGCATGGGCAACGCAGGAGGTGTTTATTAGCACGGAGCTCTCAGCGGATTACATGCAGGGAGGAAGGATCTGACAGCTGCCAGGAGGGACTGCGGCAGCCCTGGGGATGGTTCCCAAACCTCAGCCCCTCTTCCTGCTCTGCTGCCCCCAGGAAAACGGCGGAGAGCCGCGGCTGAACTCTGTGTCAGAGAGACCTCCCAGCCCTGCGCTGGCCACGACCCCCGAAGGCAGCGAGCCCCACAGTGAGGTAGGGCTGGGGATAACGGCTGAGGAGGGGGGATGGGCAAAGCCCCCACGCCGAGGCTGAGCTCTCTCTCTCCACAGCCCGATATGCAGGAAGAGGACAAGCGCAGCTCTGCGCCCAGCTCGCTGCTGGACCTCGACATCCCGCTGGCCGTGGCCAAGGAGCGGGCGCACCAGAAGCGCACCAGCAAGCGGGCTCCCCAGATGGACTGGAGCAAGAAAAACGAACTGTTCAGCAACCTGTGAATCCGCCCCGCGGCAGGGACACCGGCTCTCCCCCATCCCCTTCGTCCCCACCACCCTGACAGGGGGGACGGGGCTCGGGGTCAGAGAGCATCCCTGCTGAGGATGGTGATGGTGCCCTCGGGCTCCTCCAGCCCTGGTGTGAAGCTTTGTGCGCCCGGCTGTGTGTGGAGCTGTGGGGAGGTTTGGTGACTCGGAGTGGCCGGGTTCGATGCCCAGTGCTTCTCATCTCCTCTGCCAGCTCTTCTTCTCGCATCCCAAAACCCACTTCTGTTTCACCCCCTGATAATCTCCCTTTCTTGAGGCTTTTGGTGACTTTCACCAAGCCCTATGCCGCAGCAATTCCTCCTGGGGTTGGCACTCTTGACCTTGCAGTGTCTGTCCATGATGACCCCATCCCTTCATTCCTGTGCCCCCGGAGCTGCCCTTGGAGGCACTTGGGCATCCCACAGGCCCTGCCCCAGGGTTGTTCTAGGAGGGGAGAGGTGTCTGGAACCAGCACAGCAAGCAATAATCACCCCCTGTGCTGCTGCTTCTCCCGGAGACAAAGCCAATCACGGTTTGCATCCTACACTGCTTAGTTCAAAGGGTTCTCAATAGACTGTCGTCTTTGTCCAAAATGAGAGGTTTTCCAATCACATGGTTTGGTTTTTTTTTTTTTTAATGTATTTTGTGGAAAATTCTTCCCGTGGATGTTTTGTTTCTGTGTTTTGCAATCAGGTGTTGTATTGTCAAGCTGAAGAGAAATTCTTTACTGGAATAAATCTTCCCGACTTCACATGTCCAGCTGGAGGCCAAATCCTTGCGGAGCTGTGGATCCCAGGGCACAGTGCCAGGGGCTGCAGGGCTTCATCCCTTGTGAAAGTGGCTGTGCACGCTGAGTCCTGGCTGTGGGCAGACACCTGGAGTCTGAGTTTGTTTGAATGAACCCCTGGAGGAGTCGAGCCGTAGTGAGCTGACACGGGGTCTGGTTTGGTGCTGGATGGAGTAATGGAGAAGGCTGGGCTGGTCCCAGTGCGACTTAATGCCTTGGGACAATTAAAGGGCTTTAATCCCACGGAGGGGGGTGGTTCCAGGCTACCGTGTGCCTGCTCTAATCTGCCCAGTGTAGGGACGTGGCTGCTGGCTGGGCTGGAGGGAGGCAGCGTTGCTGGGGGCTGCCCCAACCCCAGAGTGCCCCCACTGCCCCACTGAGGTGTGGGCTGAGCCTGAGCACTGGGGCTGCCTTCTGAGAGCAGGCTGGAGGCGGGCAGGGCGCTGCCTGTCCTGAGTGGGGCCTCTGAGTGCTTTGGCAGCCCGGGGGCAGGGGCTGACCCCTTCTGTGCAGGATGGAGCCTGCAGCTGAAGGCTGTGAGGCTGCGGTGCCTGCCATGCTGGGCTCATACAGCTATTTTTAAGCCCTGTGTACTGGGACAGCTTATGCAGCTCTGCGCTAAGCCCTCCTGCTGCAGCGGAGGAGCGTGGGGGAACGGATCCTTCCCTGCCAGCAGGAGCGTGGCTCACTTGGCAATCCCGAGCGCTGCGGTGTGGATGTGTTGAGCCACCCTCCCTCAAGGGGTTTCCGGGACAGACCTGATGTTGTTTTGAGTTGCCAGGGTGAAGGCTTTTCCCGGCTGCCGGGGAGGCAGGGAGTGCCCTGGTGTTGCCTGGACACCAGGGATGCCGAATGCAGTGCTGGCTGATGCCGAGCAACCACTGGGCTGGTGCAGCCGGAGCAGCACCCTGTGTCCTCAGGGTACGTGGGACTGCGGCCCTCAAAGCAAGGCTCTCATGTGAAACAGGATGAGAAAACCCTTGAGCTGCTCTGTTCCAGGTTGGGCTGGGCAACGGGAGGACAAGACTGGTCTCTTATACTGCCTCTTCCAGATGCTGCTGCTCCAGAGCTGGGTGAGGGCCAGAAAAGCAGCTTCCAGGTGGAGATGGATGTGAACCCACAGGGATGCATTCCTGGTGTGACGGGAGCACTGAAGGAGCCTGGGCAGCCGCTGTGCTGGTAGGGCTGCGTGCTGGCAGCAGTGAGGAGTGCCTAGGGTAGGCTAGGAGCTCATCAGCAGGTCCTGTGGCCATCCCCAAACCCCACAGCAGTCACACGGGGTGGAGCTGCCGTGCTTTCCAGCATCAGCACCCATTCCCCGCACGCACTTACCCACAGAGGACTTTGTCCTCCCAGCTCTTGAACGAAATAGCCCTCAGCCCCCACCTGGCGTCAGGAGCCTGCAGGAGTCAAAGAAGTGCTGACGCTGCGCTCTGCTGGAGGTAAGGTCATCTTTGATCCTTCTTCCAAGCCTGGGGAATGGCTGTGACAGCGCCCAGCCCTCCTGCCTCACAGCACACACTGGGCTTTAGGAACACTGCTCAATTTCACCACCTGCATCTGCACAGAGCTGTGTGTGTCCCCTGTAAGCCAAGGCCTGGGGCTGTGCTTTGTGCTGGAGCAGCGCGTGCTGCTTCCGTGACCCCAACCCCTTGGTTAGAAACCCAGCGATGCTGCAGCACCCTGCAAGCTGGTAGTACACAAATGCTGCAAACACTGCCCAGGGGCATTCTGTGAATCCATCCCTGCCTGCAGCAGGGGAAGAAGAGCAGGAGGATTAATAGACCTTATAACTTTAATCTCAGCTGGAAGTGAAGCTGCTCTTTTCTTTATCACTGCACAAAGCTTTTGCTACAACAAAATCACAGAATTGTTGGGGTTGGAAGGGACCTCCAGAGATCGTGTCCAACCCCCTCAATGTTCAATACTTGTGGTTTAAAATACCACGACACACGCTTGGTTCCTGCACTTGGTTCTAACATTAGTCATAGGATGATTTTATCTGAATGAACTAAAAGTGAGAAACTACAACTCACAGGTCCTAAAAATACTCACAAAGTAACGCTAAAAACTGTAGAGTTTACCAGATAACAGCTTCCAGATTTGCACAGGGATGTCATTATCTGATACCTTATACCTGGAACAAATCATTTCTGGTCTAAAGTTAGCCTCTCTGGCTGCTGTTACAGTGGGAAAGCACCCAGGAGCAGCAGTTAACCTCCTTACCTTTTCTTTTAGCTTCCCTGCTGTGGAAAGCATGCTGAGTGGGGCAGGAAAAGTCAGGTTAAATAACTGCATTAAAAGTCTGTCCAGTGCTAGTCAGACAAGCACCTCTTCTTTGGGAACAGGCCTCTGAAGTATCACAGGCTGACTTCCCCTGAAGGTGCCTGCTCCAGTAGCAGTGCTGCCTCACCCCCAGCTCAGCTCACTGGAGAGCAGCACACAGCTCTGGGCCCTGCAGAGGAAGTCCTGAGCCGCCTGAAGGAGGGAAGTCACCATTCTGCCTTCTTTCAGGTGTGTCTTTCTTCTTCTTGCTGTGCTAACAGCAGACCCAAGAGATTAAGCATCGTTTTGCTGATGGCCTGAGGTCTCCAGGTCCACACACATAACAGGTATCAGCGTGCCAAAGCAGTTCTGAACTGAGCAAGAGATTTTGTCTCAAAAGCCTCCTGCAGCTGCCAGTTCCCTTCTGTAGAGATCACAGAGACTGAGCTTGGCTCTCGCTTGACTTGTATTAGCGATTTTAATCATGTTAATAGTTTGACAACTCCTCTTTGTACTCTTATGTTCAATCAGTGGCCGTCAGGTGGGCTCAGAAGGGCTGTGCCATCTCCCTGGACTGTGTCATCCCTGCTTCTAAGAATGATTTCCTGGCCCTGTTTCAGCTGAGCACAGCACTCAGTCAGGTGCTCCTCACCGATTCCCCATCCCCTCTGGATCGTCCTCCAGAGCTGAGAGGTGAACCAGCGCCTTCCCTCTGATCATCTCACCCCACACCCCATTAAAAGGGGTTCAAAGAGTTGCTGTAGTCTTCTTTAACTTCCAGCTAGATTTTCACCAAAGAAAGCCCCACTGCTCCCAGAGGCACCTGAGATTTTTATTTTTTAATCACTATTTAATAGAGGACAGATGGAGCTACCTGAGCACTCAGGCTTCCTCTGCAACAGTGACAAATCTTGCTCTGAGAGCAGAGGAAGTGGGAACACGGGTTGCTGCTTGTCCAGAAACTGGTTGTGCCAGGAATCAACTGCTGGTGATCCCATTGGATCCCAATGTTAAAGTCATGGAGTTGTTCTTAATCCAGTCTGTGAATTAGCGGCTGTTCTCCAGGTCCAAACTTCAGGCAGTGTTCTCAGCTGTTGCAACAAAGTGGAAAAGTGACAAGATGACAAAGGAAACAGATCAAAACAGTCAAGTGCAGCCCTGTCATTCACAGTCAGACCTCACAAGGTCCAACCTTTCCCTGAAACCTGGCTCTGTCAGTTTCCTGCACCCCAGCTGGCAGCTTCTCTTCAATGTAGCTTTTCTTCTTCACATGCTTTGTCTGGTCCAGGAGCCACTGTTTCTCTTGGTCACTGACATCCAGCCTCAGTGTCACCTCTTGGAAAACACTGTTCACAGAAACCTGTCCCACACAGAAGAAATAGAGCTCCATCCCAACCATAGAACAAACACTGCTCACATTGGGGTCAGAAGCTAGGCAGTCAACACACCTCCTTAAAATGAAGCTTCTTGAACATGCAGATGCTGGCTTCGTTTTCCTGACCAATCTTAGCCTCAAATTTGGTGATGCCTAGGTCTGTCACTCCTACAAAAGAAACCAGAAAGACAAAAATTACTGTTACCTGCTTGGCTGCCATATCTACAAAGACACAGGGCTGCAACTTCTAAGGCAGATACTCCTCTTAATACCCTGTGTGCATCACCAGGAATATGTGCCTCCTGACCACAGCACAACTTTACCCTTGCCTTGAGCCATCCTTACCATAGGACATCATCATCAGAGTTGCCTCCTTGCCAAATCCTCTGCCACGATAGCTGGGTTCTGAAAGACAGAGCTGCAGAAGTCAGCATCCCGTTACATGAGACAGAGCATCTGTGCTGGAAGCTTTTCAGAAAATACTGTGACCCAGAGCAGCAACGAATGCCATTCAGGGCTGAACAGTCAAGGTAATGCAATGAGAACAAAACACTGCAATCATATCTGTGATTCTGCGACCTGTCTGTAGCTGCCTTTAGCCAAGGTGACAAAGACCCGAGGCAGCAAGCAAAACCTCACCTGCAATCATTATTTCAATCTCGCCCAAAGTTGGATCCTCAGTGTCAGTGAGGAAGAGATTGACATCCCCCACCATGCACTCCTCATCCCCACGCGCCTGCTCAGACCACCGCTCTGCGTCCAGCACGATGAAGGTGCACTCTGGGGAGAACAAAAACACATTTTTGGGGCATGTTAAGAGTTACTTACGCAGTACTGAAGGCTGAAAGTAAAGCCGTGCAATGGACAAAGTGACAGCAGTTTCTATGTGTTAACAATGAGGAAGTGGTAGTAGCTGAATTTTCCGTCTCCAGCACACCGACTCCCATCGCTAGAAATGGAAATCACTAGAAATCACTGCTTATGCAGGCACTAAGACTAGAAACAAGCATGGAAGGAGCATGGAAATCCTCATTCCCTGACGGAGGTGTCATTGCTTTCTCTTTCTGCAGCAAGTCTGGGCAAAGGATTGTTTGGTGCACAAGACATCAAGACTTAGTGATTCACCAGTCAAACTGCTGCTTTCAGCAGGGCTTTTAATGCCAGCTGAGACAAACGTTCCAGGCTGAGATCTTCACCAGCCTCGGTATTTTGCTGCTCACTGTACTTCTACAAGGCTTTTATGGGCAGTGATTCATTACCTGTAATGCAGCCAGGGAACCAATTCCGACAACACATCTCAACCAGGTAATTATAAAGCCATTCTGTTTCTCAGGGAAAAACACAATTCCCTTCCATGTTTTTATGACAGTCAGAACTGGGGAGTGGTGACTGTGCAGCAGCTTATCAGATAATGCTGCGTAAAGCAAATCAGTTATCTTTGAAAGACCACAGAAGGAGGACACCAACAGCCCTGGATGTTCTCTGATTCACTGAGCATATATTGGCTATAAACATGCCCTGGCCTCCCTAGAAAGTCACCACAGCTGTGCTCCCCTTGCTTTAAACTGCCATTATTCACTCCAAATACTGAAAATGAAGGAACCCACAAAATACAGAAACTGTAAAGATGAACAGAGTAAGCCAATGTGCTGCAGCACTAAGGCAAAGCTGTCTGCTGAACAGAAAGCCAGCCTCTGCTCTGGTTGCTGGCAAAGCCCACTCAGCAGGCACTCCCAGCCCACTGTGTGTCCCTTCCAGCACTGAAAGGTCCCTCTAAGCCCTTCCGCCCGCCCTCAGAGAACATTTAAGACCCTCACTGTCTGCATCATCCCTCCAGCTGCGCTGCATCTCGTACTCCTGCTCCAGGCTCAGTGGTTCTGAGGCGGTCAGGCGCTGCAGCTCCTCTGACTGCATCCACTCATGGTACCTGAAAAGAGACCCAGAACCAGGCTTAGTGATGGTACTGCAGTCAGATTTCCACAAGTGCTCCGAGGATCTGCCCGTCCCCTGTCAGCAAGCTGGTCTAGAAATGCCAGCCTGGCATCCACAGCACCTTAAAAGCATCTGCAAATCTCTTTTTAATATAAAACAGGGATGTGCGTTCCCCTTGGACATTCAGCAAAGTCTGCTGATCCTGCAGCTTTGTCTGAAGAGCGCCGTAACGCAAGCCTGAGCCAAGAGCACGGACCCAGCAGCACCAAGTCCCACCGCATCTCATACTGATTTCATACAGCATCACCGCTCTGCTGACACCTGAGTAACGCTGCACACAGCCCGCCCGCACAGCGCCTCTCCTTGCCCAGCCGTCCCCGGCAGGGAACGGCATCAGCGAGCGGACATCCGGACACGGAGCGGCGAGGGACGCGCGCTGCAGAGCGGCCATCTTCCCGCAGCGCAGAAGCGAAGCCGGACAGCGCAGAGCAGCAGGGCGAGAGCCGCGTACCGGGCCACGTGTGCCGGGCCGTACGGCACCAGCGTCACCTTCCCGCCCTGCAGCGCGGTGCTCTGGTTGATCCTCATGGCCCCGCTGCCATCGCCGGGCGGCCCAGGGCAGGAGGAGCGCTCTGGAAAGCGGCTCGGCGGCACGGACTCGTAACGGACAGAGCCCGGCTCGTAGCGATGCCCTCAGAGCCGCCTCCCTGCGAGCGCAGCGCCCTGTCGGTGTCGCGGCACGGCGGGGCCCAGGGGGGCGCTGTGCCGACGCGGACGGCAGCTGACCGCTACCGCACGCATGCGGTAACAAACTCCACTTCCTTCCTCGTCGTCATCGCCGCGTCCGCTCGGCGAGCACGTGACCGCACCTCATCCCCCAATTGCAGGCGAGCCGCTTACACCCCTCTCTCCCCATTGGAAACGGGTCGGTCACGTGTGCGGAAGGAGCTCCCGGCGGGCCGCGCGTGCGCCGTAAGAGCCGGGTGGGGGCGGGAGCTGTGGCTGCTGAGGTACCGGGGTGGGTCGGGGTTCAGGGGCGGCTGTGCCGCTGTGCCAACGTCGCGGAGCTCGGCCGTCCTGTGCTCGTGCCGCAGGGCGCTGCTCTGCCAGGCGGGGCGCGTGGCCGTTGCTGTGAGGACGGCGGGGAGGGCTGCGCTTGGCCGGTGCCGCTCGGGATCCCGCCGGGTTCCCCGGAGCCGCTGCTTTGGGAGCCGCGGTTCCCGGAGCGCCGCCCCGCCCGTAGTGCGGCTCGACTCCGCGCCTCGGAGCGGCTCGATGCGGGTGGGACTCCCCGAGCCGCGCGTGGCCGAGGCCGGCTCGAGTGCCGCTCTTTGTGCTGAGCTGACGCCGCGTTGTGGTTTTCCCAGGTTAACGATAGCAGAGGTTGAAAACGCCGCCCTCGTTTCTGCGGTTCTCCCAGCTGTCTCGCCATGGCCGGCGGCATCACGGATACGGGAGAGCTCTACTCTCCGTATGTGAGTACCGGGCTCGGGGCTCACCGCTGCCCTGCGTGCGGCCTCAGTGCTGCGGGCTGCCTGAAAATAAGAGCGCAGACGCGTCCTGGACCACGAGGGCTGCTGTGTGCCGAGATGCGGTTTTGAAATGCGTTGAGAGCAGCACGTTGTCACGTGAAGCTTCCTTAAAAGGGGGAGCTGTCGCGTAGGAATGATGCTGGTTTTGTCTGAGCTTTGGGTTTGTTTGATGTTCATCAGATTACTGAATTCTACCTATTTGTAACTGTTCTTCCAGTCACTTTAATCCCCTTCACTTAAAATAATCAGACACGGTATTTCTGCTGTGTGAAGTCCTGTGAATACACACAGCCGGTTACTTCTTTGCTATGTTGCCAGAAACATGATTTTCATAGCCACAAGTGTTCATGTAGTGTCAGCTCTTAGATGAGTGCTTGCAAACACATTTTCCCCTGCTGACATGAACTCACAGACTGCTAAATATAGAACTAGTACTGAAATCAACATCGTTGGCTTTCAAATACTCTAAAACGTTCATCCTTATATTAACGATTGAATTTAGAGTGACTGGAGTTTAGGCTACAGAAATAGGCCACAACTGGGAGAACAGAGAACAAGACAGTAACTGGGACATCTGGGCTCCTAATTGTGGATGTCACCAACTCTTACATCATGTTAGTGTTCCAGGAATCGCACAGAATCCCATCTCAAAGTGTGGAGCACTCTCTCATTTTTCCCTGAAGATGCCCAGCTACTCCATGTACACAGCATTCCCATCTCTGCCTACTTGACCAAAGTCAGAAGCACCTGAGTGTTTTATTTTAGAGCCCTTTAGAGTCACAGCCCTGGGCACTTGAGCAGGAGCTGTGCTTAGGGAATGACGGCTGTGCTGGCTGAATGGAAAGGACTTTCTGACAAGCTGTGATGGCTGATTTTTATCCTGGGAGAACCACTGAAAGATGACTCTGCTGTACTGTTAGTGAATGTAGGACAGGAGCTCTTGCAGGATTTCTAGGAAATAGTTTTCCCAATGTTCATTTCTCCACGCTCAAAAAAAATGCGCTCAGATGCAGCTCTTCATTAATTCTGCTCTGGAGTTTCCTCCTATATTTAAAGCAACAACTACAAACCAACAAATGTTGGGGCATTTCTTGATCCTGATTTCAGCTGAGTTTACAGTCTGAGATGTCTTCTCCATGTACACAGTTATGTTTTTGCTCCTGATTAGAAGAAAAATGCTTGCTAGGGATATGAAATACTTTCCTTTCCAGAAGCACGTTGCCTTTTTCAGAGTGTGCTGATCGGCTTGCTGGTAAAATGACAAGCAAGCTATAAATTATAGTTCTGCTTGAGTGTGTCCTAAGAATAATGGAGAATAAGGCATTCTGAAAGGGGACTTTGGTGTGTAGCCATAATTAGTTAGACTGAGGTCAGAAAATAAGGAGAGACCCAAAACCGTGCTGTAGAACTCTTCTGGTAAAAGGCAATGGGTTTGAAAACAAACGAAAAGCTCGTGTGCTTTTTAACTTTGAAAGGTAGAAAAATACTTAAAGATTTAGAAAAACAGAGGGGTATCAGTTTCACAGATATGTGCTGTAACTTGCTTTGTTCTCTGTGGTTATCAGTGTCCTCCTGTGTTTACCTCTAACATGGGCTCACGCTTAACTTGCTCACAGCGACTGCTCTCTATTTAAGTTGTTTGTGCGGTGATGTGGATGATCTCTGGCACAGCTGTAAATTCACGTTGCATTGTGTGGATGGTTGCAGGTTGGTCTGGTTTACATGTTCAACCTCATTGTTGGGACAGGAGCCCTAACCATGCCAAAGGCGTTTGCAACAGCAGGGTGGCTCGTCAGCCTCGTTCTCCTCATGTTCCTGGGCTTTATGAGGTAGGATGTGAGTGTGTGTCTCCAGGGCACGGGGGGTTTGGTTAGATGGAGCTGTGTCAGCACTGAGGCTTATGCTGCTTTCTGAGTTATCCTGTCTCCCTGCTGTTTGAGCCCTGATCTCTGCAGCTGTGTTGCCTGCGGACCTTATTTGGAGGGATGCTAAGGCCCATGTCTTGTCTGATGAAGACTTTTTCTCTAGTCTAGAGTCTTTTGGAAACGTCCTGTGCTTGCCTGTGTCACTGATAATTCCCTAAACATTAACCATTTATAAGTTGATCTTCACTGTGATTTGCACGTGTTTTATGTTGCCTTCTGGCAGCAGTCTGGGTAGCTGCAAGTGTGTCAGGACAACAGACCACTGCACAGCTGGACCATTTATCCCCTCGCCTGTTGCTGGACTGAGATCTTGGAGCTGGTCTCATGACTTTCGTGCTGGCTTGCCATGAGCTTCTGCCCAGATGTCTGTCTCCTCGCTGGAACAGCAGGTGGAGCTGAAGACTGTTGGTAGAGCAGTGATGTCCAAATAGCTTGAGATTCTCTGGTTATTAATAGAATTTCTTCTGGCTTGGTTTAAAAATAAGAATAAAATCCCTCTGCTGCTGATTGTAGAATCAGGATTCAGAAGTTTCTTTCTTGTGGATAACCAGTTCTGTCAGCTTGGACGTGCCTTTGGTCTGGAGGCAGTGCTCTTGAGATCTGTTAGGTGCTGCTCTGTAGAGGTAGCCACGCTCAATACTAATTGTATTACTGTTTCTTAGTTCCCCACCTCAAAGCTGCATGCTTCATAGGCTTGATTAAAATGTAAACCGTGGCAGAACCAGGGACTGGTGGATTTGGAAGCAATCCCTTTAGAGAGTTATTGAAAAATGTCAGTTTATCTTCTGAAGTGCAGCAATAGCTGAGGAGCCTTCAAGGTCAGCGGGAGAGCACAGCCTTCCAAACCTGGGTACTGAAACCACATCAAAATAAACTGAAAACACAGGTGGCAGTATTAAGATCCTTGGGAGCTGTGCTGCCCTGCTGCTTTCGTTGCAGTGCTGGTGCTTGTGACTTCCCCTTGCCCTCTGGGGACCCTTCAGTGCAAGAGGAAATTGCTGGGTGGGCCTCAGGAAAGGGCTGCTTTCTTTCATTCTGGCAAAGTTGAGCTTGATAAATGAGTCCCGTTTGTGAAACAGTGGAAAACCACTTTAAAGCCTTAAATAAGATTAATTTGACTTTTTTTATTACAGGACTGTTTAGCTGAGATAATGACATTCCTTCTGTGGATGCTGTAACAGTGCCCCTGGGCCGTGTGGCTGCAGCCAGCTGTGTGCAGGCACTTGTGGCCTCCCCTTGTCCTGTGCTGCTGCTTTGCTCCTAATGCCATTTCTAACATCTGTAGGGTGGTGTTGTGCCTTTGCCAAAGGCTGCAGCGGATAAACTTTGTGATAATATGGTGCTACTCTTAGGCCCTAAAATTCCTAAAAGAGGGAAGGAGGCTTGCTTTCTAACAAAGGAAAAGCTCTTTTTCTTCCTAACACCACTAGCGAGGTGTTTTCCAGATGTTTTGTGTCTTCTTTTAGCTAAAGAAACGTGCATTTTTTTTTACTGCATTTTTTTCTGTGGTTGAACACAGAACAACAAGAGGAGATAGCAGCACTGGTGCTGATGAAATTCCTTATGAAACAAGCAGTGTGCAGGGGGTAAGGTTGGGGGAAACAGCTGTTTGGTTTGTTTAGTCCTGCAAACATTGCAAATTACTGTCATTTCAGCAGTACTGCTTGACTATGGTTGATATTAACTGAATATCTCTCTCAAGCTATATGACTACTACTTTCGTGGTGGAAGCCATGGCTGCTGCAAATGCCCAGCTGCGATGGAAGAGAATGGAAAAACGCAAGGTTTGTGTGGGTTTAACTTTCCATTTTTCTTGTGTCACATTAGGCTTGCCTGAGATTCCTCGCTGTCTTTGCCTCGCTTCATTAGCAACTCCATTAAAGGAATAAATTTCTACTCTAGTTAACTTTGCCTTGTGAAATATGGCTGTTGCTTCCCTGTGGGGTTGCTCATTAAAGGCAGGATTTTCTGCTCCAGCTTTGAAAAATCCCTCGTGCTGCTCACATCTCTCACTGATTGTGCTCTCCTTGCCCTGAAGCACTGCTCAGTGAGTGTGGAGAGGTGGCAGCCAATGTAGTGGTGCCATTTGGAGTGTCTGTAAGTCCTTATCTCAGGTCATTTAACTGGCACAGGCAGGAATGTCCTTGCTGCCAGTAAGGATGTATTCTAGGGAGTGGACAGTCCTGAGGAATGTCCTTGCTGTAAAACTGACTTGTGGCTTCTTGGATTCTGGCGTCAGT